TGTTAGGGGCCCATGGGTTCAACTTTAGATTGATGTCAGCTCAAGGAAGCGATTGCCAGGCAGCTGAAGGAGCTGGCAGAGGCAGGTGGTTATTGCACCCATTCCTCGGATTTCTGATTATGTTTATGTTTAGGGTTTAGGGTTTAGGGTTTGTTTATACTACAAAGGCTCAATATGCTCCGAAGTCTTCAGTCTCCATATAGAACTGTCGGGCTAGAGGGGGTTCATCGGGGTTCAGGGCACCTTCACTCATGTTGCATTAATGTGTTTGGTTTTGGTTCGAGGCTTTGGGATTTGGGATTTGGGTCCTCGGGTTAAAGGCTTTAGGACTTTAGAGGTTTATGTGGTTGGGCATTTTCGTTCTGTCGGGCGTTAAGGCCTTTCACTTGCAGGAGGTTGCAGGCCGGTTTTGACATTCATCAACCCTAGACCCTAAACCCTAAACCTTAAGCCCTATATACCCTAAGCCTTAAACCCTATAAACCCTAAGCCTTAAACCCTATAAACCCTAAGCCTTAAACCCTATAAACCCTAAACCCTTAACCCAAAGTCCCATAGCCTGGATCAGACATTCGGAACCTCGAAGCCCACATCCCCTTCTAAGTCCTTATAAAACTCGATGGTCAGAAGCCCTGTAAGAGCCTATTCCAATTTTTAGGGTTTAGGGTTTAGGGTTTAGGGTTTAGGGTTTAGGGTTAAGCGCCCATATCGCAGAAACATTCAAGAAGTCTCTTTTGTAAGTCATCCTGCCAACCCACATGAAGGCATATTCTGTGCGGGGCGACCGATGGCGCAGCTGGCAACTGGCCAAGGCCCCTGCTTTCCTTCAAAGCCCCAAAGAAGCCGCAAGGTTCAGGGTTTAGGGTTTTAGGTTTGGGCTTGGGGTTTGGGGTTTAGGGTTTAGGGTTTAGGGTTTGGGGTTTGGGGTTTGGGGTTTTGGGTTTGGCTGCAGGGTTTAGGAGTTTTGGGGTTTACGATTTTGGGTTTGGGTGCAGGGTTCAAGGGTGCCAAAATCCGTATGTAGCCCTGGGGGGGCTTTTGGTTTAAGGTGCCTCTTTCGGGGTCGTAGTCGTGGGTGTTACCCAGAAGTCCGATTCACATGGCCTAGATCAGTGGCAGGTTTGTGTAGGCATTTCGACTCTTAGGATTGCGTCAAGTGTCAAGGGTTGTTTGGCTATTTTGCATCCGACGGCAAACAGGCAGCATGTTGCTCGGTTCCATCTCGGCCGGAGCGGGGGAGTGAGTCCGTTGTTGATCACATGCTGTATCTGGTCGGCGTCCATGAACGTAGCTGACACCGTCGGCCGCCGCAAAGAAGGACGAGTAGCATGCCAAGCCACACGAGCCCAAACCCCAAACCCTGACACCCTGTACCCAAAACCCAACTTCCTAAGATCCCAGGACCCGAAACCCTTAACTGCAAGACAAACACAACTTCAAGATACCTAAGCGCCAAAGACTGTGGTGGGTGGATGAATTTGGATGGTCAGCAGATCTGAGCACGGCAAGCGTGCGAGACTAAGACACTCCGAACAAGAAGTGAGGTCAAAAGAATGAACAACATCCTGACTCCTAAGCCCCGAACCGCAGAACCCCCGTAAAACCCTACAGAAGCCTGAACCCTAAAGCCTAAACTTTGAACCCTAAACCCTCAACCATACAGAAGCCCGAAGCCTTAAAGCCCCCGGACCCATATAGAACTTGTACAGGCCTGGAACCCTTATAATACAGCCCTCAGACGACTCCTGTAATTAGAACTTTAGAACCTCATGGGACCCTTGAAGAGCCCCTGTAAACGCTACTCATAGGAACCCTGTACGACCCAGACGGTCTTCCTTTCAGTGCTCCTGCCTTCAATGTTTAGGATGTAGGGTTTGGTTTTCAGGGTTTGGCGTTTAAATTGAACCCTATAAACCCCCATGTGACCTCCTTCCAGGGTTCCTTTAAGGAAGCTCAGGGCCTTATGGAAACACCATGTACCCTCCTTCCAGGATTCCTTTAAGGGCTTCCTTCCAGGGGGGCCTCATGGAAACGGCAGGCCGAGCGTTTGGTCCGTACGTGGCCCGAGCCGCTGCGCACACCGGAGGACTCCGCAGGTCTTGTGGTTTAGGGTTTAGGGTTTAGGGTTCAGGGTTTAGGGTTCAGGGTTTAGGGTTTAGGGTTCACGTGTAGGGGTTAGGGGTTAAGGGTTTAGGGTTAAGGGTTAAGGGTTTAGGGCCTTGGGTCTAGGGTTAAGGGTTCAGGGATTAAGGTTTACCGTTTCGGGTCTAGGGCTTAGGGTTTGACCGTTTAGGGTTTAAGGTTTATTGTTTAAGGGTTTATGTGCTTCTGACTGACTGCTTTGAGGACCCCCAACCTGGACTCCAAACCGCCTACACCGTCTAATCTAGGGGCCTAAATCATTACTTCTACTATTTTGAGGGTTCCTGATTATAATGGCTATAGTATAATATACCTCAAAACCCCATTCTAATTATTAAGGCCCCTACATTAGGGCTGTTGGCTATGTTGTTGGGGTTTGGGATTTCTCCGGCCCTCGAAACTGGTAGCTCATAGAGTTTGAGATGCGGCTCCAGGCTATTACAGCCTTGTGCCGTTCTTTAAACAGGCTCTTATTCGGGTTTCATATGGGAGTTTAAGAGTTTGGTAGCGGCTGCATGGCAGTTCAGTCGCCTGAGGGTAAGAACAGAGAGTTTAGGCTTAAAGCCTGGTTTTGGACAGCTTTTCCTGTTTTGGTGGTGCCGACTTTAGATTTTAGGGTCGGGTTTCGGCTGGGGTCTTTCGGGTAGGGTTTAGAGTCCGGTGTAGAGTCTAGGGTGTAGATTTAGGCGGTCCGGACAGGGGTTCTGGTGTTTGGGGTTCGTACCAAAACTATACTAGAATACTACCCCAAAGCCTAGTCTAATTACTTCAGGCTCTGCGAACACTTTTTCGGGGAAGGCTTAGAGAGCTTATAGGGTGTCGATTTTTTGAGGTCCAAACCCTAAACCCTAAACAGGAAAATAGGAGGTCCAGACCAGGGCTGAGTGGAAAGATTTCGGGTTTGGATTTCAAGGCTTGCCTTTTAGGGCTTTGGGTATAGGGTTTAGGGTTTAGGGTTTAGGCGCCGGGTGCAAAATGAGAGTGTGCGTCAGGTTTCGGGCTGGATGTGCCCGGTTTAGGGTTTCGGATTCAGGGTTTAGGTTTTAGGGTTTGGGGTTTAGGGTTTAGGATTTAGGGTTTAGGATTTAGTCACCCTTGTTGCAGAATGTGTACTTGACTCAATCATGGCTCCTTCAACCCTACAACCTAAGCTTAAACAGACTTTACAATGTGGCATAGGTGCTTCAATATTTAATGACCTTGCTAGTACTATCTATTCGGAGGGGGGGGGGGGTCCTTTTTGTAACTATAGTATAATATACCCCCAAACTCTATTCTAATTATTAAGGCCCCGATGTTAGTCATTTGCTGATCGTTCTGGAACCCATGGGTTTAGGGTTTGGGATTTGGGGTTAGCGTCTTCGACCTTAAATCAGTAAGTACTAAACTCATCCTAAAGCGCCGTATGCCCTGAGCCAGTCAGTCTTTTACGACATGTAGGACGTAGCACACATGAACCCCCTGCACCGTGAACCCTGCAATACTCCTGCAATCCTTATGCCCTTATTCTATTGGTAGTGGCCTTTGATGAGAGACAGGACTTTGATCGCATCGCTGGGCTTGGGCCGAAGACCCGTGACAAGGTGCCGGGTAAAATGACAGCACAGTTTGAATCATATGCCCTATAAACCATATGCCCTAAACCCTATACGCCCTAAATCCTAAGCCCAGAAGATCTGCCGGCGAACAGAATTACCGCCACAGCCACCACCGCATCGCACTACCAGAACTAATATAGGGCTTTGGGGTTTCGCCTCCAGCGTCCTGCGGGTCGGATAGGACGGCTTTGCTAAGACATGCCCCTTTGGTCCAAGTGTTTCTTAATCAGGGTCGCCCTGTGAGTCCAAGGCACGACAGGTGAGTACAAGCTGATAGTTTTGAGATGTGGAAGTTCTGCAGGATGTGTTAGCAGCAGACAGACTACCTGAACGAAAACCAGCCACTTGACGTGACGCCACAAATTAAAGCTTAAGCTCTTAAATCCCTGAATGGATTGAGTCGTCTATGTTGACCATGAAATACCTTGTGGCAGTGCCGGGAGATCTTGGCCACCGGGGTGCTTACCCGACTTGATGCGGTCCGAGGCAGGATGGGCTTGTGCTGTTGAATAATGTGTGTGCTTAAAGTTCAGAGGGCTGGTCGAATTCGGTGGGGCACAGCTTGGTTGCAGCGTCAACCTGGGAGGAAGCCCTAACCTACTAAAGCATACACTGAGGGTCCATGTGCTCATATAGTATATTCATTGGCCTTAATGTAGTCCCTATACAGGTACTTTAGGGCCCATGTATATGCTATATGAGTACATGGACCCTTAGGGATACTCGAAACCCCTCAACAAAAGCACCCTAAACACTATGTACCCTCCCGAGCGCTTGCAGGGCTTCTGCATCGGGCTTTCAGTTTTAGGGTAGAGTTTGAGGTTTAGCGTTTAGGACTTAGGGTTTAGGGTTTAGGATTCTCACCCAGGTTCCCGGAGTTTGAGCTTACGGTCTTAACGTCATAGGGTTTGGGTTTGCATCTGCAGTGCGTGTGTGTGTATATATATATATATAGATGTGTGTGTGTGTGTGCGTGTTCCTCGAATGGATGTGCAAGTGCCCCTCTCCCAGACCATACTTTTGGCGCCTAATTAATTACCAAAACTATTTTGGGGTTTCCTGATTATATTTGTAGAAACTCGGCCCCAAAGCTTTATTCTAATTATATAAAGGCCCTCACGTTAGCTGGATTGCCCACTCTTCCTGAGGAGCCCACGGATTGGAAGCCTGTACGTACTCTGCTTCAGGGGACCCGGCATCCTCTCGGGGCTTTAACCCTTAGCATCAAAATAGCCCAAAAGCCTTATATAATAGGGTCTTTGGGCCCAAAAGCCTTAAAATATGAGTCCTTAGAGTCCTAGGGTAATAATTAACTATCTATAGTCTTGTGGGGCATCTTTATATAGTAAGAGTATAAAGGAGCCCAAAATTAAAATCCTATTCTAATTGTTAAGGCCCCTATATTGCCGTCTAAGCCTAGATGACATATGAGGTAGCGGCGCAGGTGCAGGCGATTCCTTAGACGGAATTCATGTTGGCAGGATCCGCGGCCGATATCTCAAAGTCTACACCCTAAGCCCACTTAAACTAAACTAAAACTCCGAAGTGCTAACCTCCTAAACGCCTTCTCTTCTACCCTAAGCCAGACACACGAGAGGCTCGTATTATACGGCTCGAATATTATATCAGCGTATAGTAATATCATTATACAGTCCCTGTACTTTTTCAAGAACCATCTACGCCCAAACCCTATTCCAGTATTCAGGCCGCTTGTGCTGCGGCTCAAACCGTAAAGGATGTGAAGCATATATGCTCGAAGCCTTGAGCCCTAAACCTAAATGGTCTAGACTCTAGACCAAGCCTAAACCTTATCGACCCGAAAGCCTCAAACGTTGACCCTCAACCCTCAAATGCTGTAGTATAGAAGCCGGAATCAGTACCAATACCACTCCCTAGGGCTCCTTGTTCAATTATTTTAGGGTTTAGGGTTTAGGCTATAACTTACCCCCAAACCCCTTACATTAGCCTCTACATCAACTCCAAACTCCTTTCATGTAGGTCTGAGCAGGGTTTAGGGGATATATCATAGTATGATTATACTAAGGAGCCCCCAAACTGGTTTAGGGTTTAATGTTTAGGGTTTAAGGGGGCCCCTATATTCGAGTTCAGGGATCATAGTATGATTATACTAAGGAGCCTCCAAACTTTTTCGAGTTCAGGGAACAAGCCCTAAACCCTAAACCCTAAACCCTAAACCCAGGTGACGAGATGACCCAGATTCTTCAGGACCGGCAGGCTTTACCCATAGGCTCCCCATTGTCATCTAGAAGCCTAAATACGGTTTAGGGTTTAGGGTTTAGGGTTTAGGGTTTAGGGCAATATTATGGTTGGGGTTCCGAATTATATATATATATATACACTATAAAGAAGCCCAAAACCCTATTCTAATAATTAAGGTCCCTACATTAGTTCCTTTTTATGTGGGTTTATACTTTAGGATCCTCTAAGGTAATCCCCAAAAAGGAACTACTATGGAGCCTATGATCCCTAAACCCTAAACTCTAAACCCCAAACCCTTAACCCTAAACCCTAAACCGCGTAAGGGTAGGCTTTAGAGGTTGAAGCTCTGGGACCCTCTGGAACTTTGCAGTTCCACCGTAGCTTTTGGAAGGTTAGAGGTTCCGTCATCCACACATCTTTCGATCTTTCTATCTATCTATCTATCTATCTATCTACCTATCTATCGGTCTATCGAACTATCGATTTTTTGATCTATCATTCTATCTATCTATCTATCTATCTATCTATCTAACTATCTATCTATCTATTTATCTATCTGTATACATACATACTTAAATGGCATTTGCATCCATACATATGGACACCGGTAACCGTAACCCTGCTCAGTGAGCCAATGTAGGCTCTTCTGGCATGATCTAGCAGCGGTTTAGGGTTTAGGGTTTAGGGTTTAGGGTTTAGGGTTTAAGGTTTAGGGTTTAGCTAGCACGGATTGCCAACCTTACCTGTGTGAGCTAATCACTAAGTGGGCTCACCTGCCTTGTCAACCCTTGAATCAGAAGTCTTTACATCTTGTGAACCATAACCCTTCATTCATCATGGTGTTTAGGCTTTGATTCCTAAGGCGTATTGTCTTAAAATTTAAACCGTTTAGCACGAACTGACCCTGCAGCCTTCGGTCAGCTTACCTAGCCAGCCACTGTGGCCCTGATGGCAGAGCGTGTCTATGGCTTCGAGGAGGCCTTCGAGCGACAGCCAGCTTGGTTCACATTTTCAGAGAAGTGGAATTGACATGGTGACGGTGGCGAATGCCGTGGAGGAGGCGATAGACGCCCGTGGGGACAGCAGGTTCAAGGAATGCCACAGTTTAGGGGTTTAGTGTGGGTGGATGGACTGCGACGTAGCCGGGGCAAGGCCCAGGTGGGGGCCAATCCCCGGCTTTGGTTTAGGGTTTAGGGTTTAGGGTTGATCGGGTTTAGGGTTTAGGGTTGATCGGGTTTAGGGTTTAGGGTTTAGGGTTTAGGCCATGACCATGCGCACCAAGTGGCTGCGAAGCTGTGTGCCCGTAACCGGCCCACAAAAGGGAGTTCAGGTCTCGCCACACTGCGTTGCTAGTGGGACCTTACAAGATGTGGATCGCACCGAGGCACCATATGAAAGAACACTGCAAACGAAAACCCGTCATCTCGAAGCCCTTAACCCTAAAAACCCGAAAACCCTGAACCGCAAACCCTGAACCCTATAAACCCTAAACCCTGTAATTCCTAAGCCCTTTTCAAGGGTTTAAATAAGGAGTTTAAGGGGTTTCCTCTGAAGCCAGTACTTCATCCTAAACCCTAAACCCTACAAACCCTAAACCCCAAAACCCTATAAGCCCTACACCCCTAAACCCTAAACCCTATAAGCCCGAACCCCCTATAAACCCTAAACCCTAAAAACCCCAAACTCCTATAAACCCCAAACCCCTTTAAACCCGAAACCCCTATAAGCTCTAAACCCTAAACCCTATAAACCCTACGCCCCCAAAGCCTGAACCCTGTAAGCCCTACACCCTAAACCCTAAGCCCTATAATCCCTACACCCCTAAACCCTAAATCGTAAACCCTATAAGCCTCATAAACCCTAAACCCTAAACCGTAAACCCTATAAGCCCCATAAACCCTAAGCCCCGAAACCCTAAACCCTATAAACCCTATAAACCCTAAACCCCTATAAACCCTAAACCCCTATAAATCCTAAACGTGATCAACCCTAAACCCCTATAAACCCTAAACCCTATCAACCCTAAACCCCTATAAACCCCAAAACACCTATAAACCCTAAACCCTAAACCCTCAACCCTATAAACCCCAAACCCTATAAACCCTGAACCCTATCAACACGATAAGCCCTAAACCCTAAACCCTACAAAACCCCTAAAGTTTACTCATAGGCCCCATAGTAGTTCCTTTTTGGGAAAACCTTATAGGATTCTAAATATGAACCCCCAAAAGGAACTCCTATAAACCCCTAAAGCCCCTAAACCCCTAAACCCTTAAACCCTAAACCCTAAACCCTAAGCCCCCGTAAACCCTATAAATCCCTATAGCACCCTAACCCTAAAAGCCCTGGAAGCCCAGGACTTCACCTGCATCCACGGCGCAGGAGAGTCCGTGGCACGCAGGCTGGAGACTCAAGCCGAAGTTCTTGGGCTTATAGGGTTTAGAGGGTTTTAGGGTTCAGGGGTTTAGGGTTTAGGGTTTAGGGTTTAGGGTTTAGGGTTTATAGCCGAAGTTCTTGGGTGCCCATAGGCTCCATTCAAGGGACTAAAGAAGGGACCCTTAGAGGGACCTTTTGGGTTATATAGGGGCTTTATGAGACTTGGGTTTATAGGGTTTAGAGGGTTTTAGGGTTTGGGGTAGGGTTTTGGGTTCTGGGTTATGAATTTAGGGTTTAGGGGTTTAGGGGTTGGGGTTTATGGTTTCTAGGCTCCAAAGTAGTTGATTTTCTATGGGTTTGTACTTTAGGGTTTGGGTTTTGGGGTTTTGGGCTTTACGGTTTAGGGTTTATAGGGTTTTGGGTTTAGGGTTTTGGGCTTTGGGTAACCATAGGGCTCCATAGTAGTTCCTTTTTTGTTTGTTTATACTTTAGCGTTTTGGGTTTTAGGGTTTTGGGTTTAGGGTTTTGGGTTTAGGGTTTGGGTTTATTCTTTAGAAGTGTTTGGGGTTTAGGGGTTTTCTGAAGGCCGGTGCACCCCGACAGAGAAGGTGGCAGCGCGCCTGTCGTTCAGCGATGCCCCCAGACCTGACTACCCACATCTCAACATCATCGGTTTTAGCGTTTCTTTTGCGTGTTGTCTTCCCTGGGGATTAGCCCCTTGCTGCCTAGGCAGCTGTGGGTGCTTGATCTGGGTATGTCTTTGGGGCGGGGCTGGAAGACGTCAGGCCAAATGTGCTATGGCACTGCCTGGATCGATTGGATTCGGCTTGCAGCAGACCGGCTGCTCGTTCTGGTTGGGTCTGATTTGCGGAGCCGGAAAATCTCTTATAATGTTAACTCCCTAAACCCGGAACCCTTTAAAGAAGGACCCTAGGAACCCTAAACTCCCTAAACCCGGAACCCTCAACCCTAAACTCCCTGGACCCTAGGAACTGTGGGTTCTGGCTGGATTCGCGAGGCAGGTGCTTATGTGCAGGCCATATCGCTCGCCGCTGGCATCCGCAGTGCCGGCTCGCTCTAGCCAAGGGCTTACGGTCCAGGGTTCAAAAATATTGAAAGGCTTTGAAGAAGTTCGAAAGTTTGGGGTTGACCTTAAGGATCCAAAGCACCCAGTAGTGAGGCACTTGGGTTTAGGTTTTTTGGTAAGTAGTTTTTGGGGAATATATATATATATATATATATGTGCGTGTGATGTATTTGGATGGAATTAAGGTCTAGGGACAGGGTTCAGGGCTTCGGGCAGGCACTTGGTGTTTTGGATTATCAGGTTTAGGGTTTGTGCTTAGACTGTGATTGGCTAAACGATTCATAGCATGGGTCGGTCACTAAGCTGGGGTCGTTTGTGGGCTTTCACAGCCGTCATCTGCAACCAGATTTAGTAAATTTAGGGCACCCTTCTCCCTTCAGCTAGATTGCTTTCACCTCATAAACACTATCCGTAGCCACAGACACCGTGAGGACAGACCGTCCGCTTGGGCTCGGAAGACATCATTCCCATCGTAGGGCTTTAAACAGCGTCTTAAGGCGTGTTGGGTTGCAGCTTCTCGCACCAACAAGTGTTTGACAGCACCAATGAGAGACGTGTTTTCGCGACATTCTTGCGCACTAAAATTTGGTGTTGCGCACTTGAACCCTTCGAACTTGTCATGAATCCATTACAGTACAGAGCACGACAGGGGTTGGAAAAGCTGTTCAAGAGGTTTACGACCACACTCACGTGAACAGTCACCCCTTGCTTCTTTTGGCAATTTCAACATCAAGTTTGTACAACCGTAAAATACACTCATTTGCTTCTTTTGGCAATTTCAACATCAAGTTTGTACAACCGTAAAATACACTCATTTTCGTGCGTTCGAGAGTTGGATGTATGTAAAGAGACATAGGCATGCGAGGGCTCTATGGTCCAGAACTGTTTCCGGTGTTGGCTCCGGGTTTCGGGTTCCGTGTGTCAAGCGATGTGTGCATGGTGAACATGATGCAGGAATCTACTCAAGCAGGCAGTGTTCAGCTCTGTTGGCATTCGCTTCGGACGGTTCTCGTCCGTGTCTGCTCCTGTGCAGTCCAACTGCCCTTAAAAAAAACTGGCAATTGTAATCGATGCAATACTCTTGACTTATGTTCCTGGTCGCAGTCTCAAGATGCCAAATTCTTAAGCCCGTAAGTTTGATTCCTTAATTCCGAAATCTTACTGACGAAATCCTGAATCCGGAACCCTACCATCCTTGAACTTAAGCCTGCTTTAACCAAACGTTGCTGCCTGCCCGAGGTGGCTTGCAGCCGGCTGCAGAAGCTTCGATGACCTTCGCCAACGAGAGGACGACCTGTTTCGAGCTTCTGACAATTTGCATCGCGTGTTCTAGGACTCTAAGCCGAGTTTAGTTTTTGTTGCAAGGGGTCTTGTTGGATGAATGGTTTATAAGGGTTCATGGTCTTTGAGATATTCGGATAGGGGCTTTAATACTTAGAGAATAGGGTTTGAGTCCGGGTATGTTTGATGACACAGGGAGGAAATATATCTTCAAGGGGACCTTGGTGCAAAACACGCAATCCTTTCAATACCCATAAACCCTAAAAATCCTACAAGCCCTGCATGCAAACCCTATAAGCCCCATAAGCCCTTTTAAGCCCCTGCAAACCCCATATTATAAGCCTTGGGCCCCTAAACCCGTAATCGAGTGCCCCAATCCGATTGCTACGGAGAGCTGGAGACTCCGCAGTCTGTCAGAATGGTTTAGGGGTTTAGGCTTTAGGGTTTAGGGTTTAGGGTTTAGGGGTTTAGGGTTTAGGGTTTAAGATCACGAGAATTCAGTATACGGTTTGGGGTTTAAGTTTTTTTTTTTTTTACAGGCGTTGTACCAGTTTTGGGGATGTAAAAAAGGACCCTGATTTAGACAACTACCCATACAGGGGTTAAATAATTGGAACAAGGTTCCGTTGAAAGGGGTCCTGAAAAAGGAGCTTAAAAGCTGCAGCTATTTCATATTCCAGGTATTTCTGGAACCCACTTGTTTGATGTTTTATAAACACCACACTTATGTCACACGAATGCCTATGAGTTCTTGTTAATCCCAAGGCGTCAAGGAGGCGAGGCATCTCAAATGCTGCATGAGCTTGTCATACACTATAGATTATAGCCTCGCTCTTCTGGGATCTGCACGTGTGCGGATGTCCAAGTCTCGCAACGTGATCCGGCACAATGCGCGGGGTCATCAATCAACATGTTTGGTGAAGGTCCTCCGGGACCAGAACCTCGATATCTAGCAGCAGAGTCGGACGATCGTACGTTTGAGGAACACGCCCAGCACATTGTTTCCACACCCAGGGCGGGAAACAGGGATTGGGATGAATTTACGCTGCAAAGACCAGGCTTGTCTGTAGCAATGTTCGTGCGCAGGCATGGGAGTTTTCTTTGCTGCCCATCTGCTTGCATGGCCTGCCTGCAAGGAGCACTTGTTTCGAAACGTATTTACGTGTTGGAGGCAGCAGGCATCGGAAATCGTCGTCGACTTTGGCACATCGGCCGCACGGACCAGAGTAGAGGAATGCGCCCTGAAGCATGTTAAGGGTTCTGTTATACGTCAAGGTGTATAAGCCAGCAGTTTTAGAATCTTAGGGGCAATGTAGTTTTGTTTTCGGTTGTTTTGCTTGTTACGACATTTACTATACTTGTACAATTTAGACACGATCCAAAAGTGTCTACTCTCGAGAGTCCAGGTAATGCTCTGATGAGTCGTAGTTTTAGTTTAAGGTTTCGCCCAGGAGCTTGTTTTAGTGTCCTTGCATAGTCTGCAGCCAACCATGCCAAAACACCGAGAACAGTGACGATACAAACGGCTGTACTCGCAGTAGTCATCGATGCTGCCCGTAACGCGATGGTGATGATACAAGAAGTAACGTTAATCATTCAAGCGGTTCTGAACATAGCACCACTGCAGAGCTCGACGTATCCTACCGATGGGTTTTGATAAATTCTTTGGTCCTTATCCCAAGATATCCCACGCAAAAGCCAAAGCAAATCTAAGTATCGCTACTATTCCTCAGGATTGGGGTTCCTTATTATAGTCATACAACACTAGTCCCCCAAACCCCATACCCTAATAGGAACTAACAGTAAGAGCGACTGCCAAGCAAGCCTCCCAAGCTCTTTAGGCTGAAATGTCGGAGTCCTTACACCTTTCGGGTTGATGTAACCCGACAAGGCTCTAAGTCTGTCAGGATGATGTTCTCGATTTTGTGCCCCAAAAAGACAACTGTGTAAGGCTTTGGGGGTTATTTTAGGTAGGGTTTAGGGTTTGTTATGTTGAGCTTTAGGGCAATTGGGGCAGTACAGGTAAAATCGATTGCTTTGCACACAGCAGGACGAGCTGGGCCTCACAAGAACGCAAAGGCCTCGCGCCGTCCTTTACTGACCAGCTCGACCTGTTTTCTTGTCGGCTTGGGGTAACGGTAGTGGGGAGGCTTGGGTGCTTAGCAATACCATTTTGGGGGTTCCTTGCTATAAGTATAGTAATCGTATAGTATACCCCCAAACCTTGTCACTATTCTGTAGCACGTTCTGAGGGGGGTCTTTAGAGGGATACTTGGTCCTTGCAGGGGCTCGATTAGGTGGTTATTTGGCTTTTATTTGGTCTTTGTTTGGCTCCTAATTGGCCTCTATTTGGTGCCCGTTTGGTCCTTATTTGGTTCTCAATCGGGCCTTAGTTTGTCCCTACTTACTTGGTCTCCGAATAGTCTCTGTATGGTTTCCAAATCGGTCTTGACCTGTACTTGTTCCGTATTTAGTACAGTGCCTGTGTACTTCCTGCCAAGCCCCTTCACTCGGGCCATGAGTTTCGTTCCAAAGTGTTACGGGGTATTTGGTGCGATGTTAGTGGTAAGGGAACTTAATTGGGAGGAATCATAAGTCGCTTCGTCCTGAGAAGTCCGTCCCAATTCTGGCCGGTTGTTAGCTGAAGAACCGATCCTCGATGTGGGCCAAACCCGCCACAAATTTGATCCTTAAATTCTAAGGTTGAACCCATGGGCCGCTAACATGGGCCCTCACGGGATTCTAGGGTCCCTTAAGGGTATATATAGGGTATATAGTAGATATATTAGGGTCCCAGGGTTAAGGGCCCATACTAGGGGCCCATGGGTTCTACCTTAGATAAATGGGCCCAGATACGGGCCAAACCTGGGCTCGAATGATGGCCAAGTTGTTCCTTAAACCGGCCCGGACAAGGGCCAAATCCGGGACCCAAATAAGTGCCAAGCAAGGGCCAATTTGGTTCTTAAGCCGGCCCGGATAAGGGGCCAAATCCGGCACCCAAATGCGGGCCAAATGGGTGGTTTTTCTTGGCACATTTGGCCCTTATCTGGTGGCCAGGATTTGGCCCTTAGCCGGGCCAGCATTAAGGGCCAAATCTTGCCAAGATTTGGATTTTGCCCTGGCCGGATTTGGCTTGGATTTGTATCGGTGCCAACTTTGGCTTCTACTTGGGCTTTATTTGGTCCCTGCTGCTGCTGCCGGTGCTGTCACTGTTGGTGTCGGTGTCTTCTTACTTTCCTACTATTATCCTTCTTATTGATCTTCTTCTTGTTCTTGTTGTCATAACCAGGAGGGTGTAGGCACGGTTCCCTACGTGTTGAACTTGTTTAATTGTTTAACCGCACTAGTGATTGGCAGTATATGTTGTCAGCAAGCAGGATGCATGTTGACGACGACCGTGACGCGTTGACGTTGACCGTGACGATTAGGACACTGCTCTCGCTGCTGTCCCCAAACCCCATTCAAATCATTAAGGGCCCTAAAGTAGGCTACTCGCTCTGTTGATCTGCTTTGCTTGTCGGCCTGCCGGCTCGAGGGTTTCGGTCATGTTTGGGGGTGGCTCGGGAGGTCTTGCAGGTGGCCATTGAAGTGCCATTTATTTTGCTTCTGGCTCTCCCTTCGCCTCCAACGTCTTAGAGTATAGCAGATATAGAGTATAGGCTTATAGCCATGAAGGTGACAAAATATAGGGGCCTTAACAATTCGAATAGGGTGTTGGGGCCCGGTATACTGTAATTATAACAAGGAACCATTTAGGCCCCTGCATTACGATACTAGGTGAGGTTCGGGTTGTTTTGAGCCCTCTCAGCTGTGTCGAGTCTCAGACTGCTCCTAAACTCAGATAAACCCAAAGATGCCCAACCAATCGGAATCCGAAGATACTTAGGGTTCAGGTTTAGGGTTTAGGCGGGTTTAGAGTACTTTTTTATGCCACAACCGTCAACCCTAAACCATAAGCCCTCAGCCCCAAAGCCCTAAAATCCTAACTCTAAACCCCAACGGTGTGTCGGCTTCCGTCGCCTCGTGGAGTCCAGCTGGATCTTACTGAGATCCAGGAGCTATCCCTAAGGGTCCATGTGCTCATATAGTATATACATCGGCCTTAATGTAGTCCCCATATAGGTACTTTAGGGCCCATGTATATGCTATATGAGTACATGGACCCTTACGGTATGCAGGCACAGCATGTTGACCTGTCTGAAAGATGGGTGCCCAAAGAGGTCTCGGATGAAGAAGTCGCGAACTATGTTTCAAGCACAGCTGATGGTGGATGGACTACATGAACGTGATGTTTTCGGAGGGGACTACAAGGAGGTCAACGGCAGGAGTATCTAATCGTCGTGCTGAGGCCTTCATGAGTTAAGGGTCGACAGTGATCACCAGCCGCATGTGTATGCCTGAGGGTACTGTAGTTCTTGGAAGTTGCCTTCCCTCCAGGGATCTTCAGCGAAGCAACTCAGCAAGCTTGAAAAGAGGCGCTTCAAACAACAAAAACCACGTTCGGGCAGGCTCGGTTTAAAGTACGTCAGCGACTTCAAGGAACGCATTCCTCGCGCAGAGGCGAGGCAGTCTTGGAGTGTTTTACTTTGGGGTATCGGGTTTAGGGTGTTTACTTTGGGGCTAGGCGATAATTATTCCGGGCTATTGTATATGAGTTCAAGATGATTGCTGTGGCCACGCGCTTAAAGGTTGAAATGCGTAAGTTTTTGTATGTATGTATGTATGTATGTATGTATGTATGTATGTATGTACGTATGTATGTATGGATGGATGTATTTATGTATGTATGTATGTATGCATGCATGTATATGTGTATATATGTGTGTATGTAAGGATGGATGGATGCATGCTTGCTTGCTCGCTTGCTTGTGTATATATATATATATATATGTATGCACCTGTACATATATATATATATATATGTATATAATATGTTTATGTAGAGAGAGAGAGAGGGAGTAAGTAGTCTGCTATTAATCGAACAAACACAGGCTGTGGTGGGCTTTAGTGTCCAAAGGCTCTGGGCATAAGATTGGGCTCAAAGTGAGCCTAGCTTTTACGATCAGAGCTTTAGCGGGTGGTAAGGTTTTGAGCAACTTACGTCCCACCGGCAGTCAAAGCAGATCCATGACCCCAAACGTCATCCTGAATTTTTCCTGCAAGCCGACGGACCCGACAGATGCGAAATCCCAAGACGTGCTATTCTTTGTCATCCCCTTTCAGAAGCACCATCCTAGATATCCTGCTGGGAGGCTATGCGAATCGTGGACGCTGTTACCGCAGCAGCCGACAGAGCATATGGCCTGAACAAGGCCGAGCCATTGAGGGCAGGTGTGGAATGCTCTGTGCAGGGGCACATTTCTAGCTTTGACACATGGACCTCGACCTCAAGGAACTCTGTTGCCTCTGTTTTTTCTATTTCTGGTCGTCTCTACACAAGCAGTAGCCTGTACAGTAGCGGTGCACTGAGCAATGGGGGCTGGGAACCTCTCTTCCATTGTTGCTCGTCATTCTCTGCTCTTTTAGTGCAGCTTGTATGACTTGTATGTTCCGCTCACCTGGCAGGTCGAGGTCACGCCCTGTGGGTCCATGCGACGAGGTGTGGGCCGTTTTCCGGCAGCTTGCGTTGGGCTCTCTGGACTTCTCTGATGTTGATGTTGGTGCCTGCTGCATCTGTAGGCACGTGTGACTCCAGTTGCTCTAGTCCAATGCCGTGACAAACTTGCTAACTAGCAGCTACTGTATGATTTCTCAGCAACGGGATCGGCGGCAGCGATTTGCATCGTAGAAGGTCTAGTCAAGGGTTTGCCTCATGCACCGAATGTGCTGGCAGGAGCCCAGACAATGTCGGACATCGATATCGTGCTGGCCCCTCGCGAAGGATGTGTGCTTGCTGGAGGTTCACTCGGCTGAGCTTAAACCCAGAAGCCCGCATCGCTGCATTTAAGATCAGCCTAAGACAGGGGCCTAAGTGACTACCAAGAACTATTTTGGGGGTTCCTTATGCTAAAGATAGTATGAAGGGCCCCCAAACCCGATTCTCATTATT